TAACACAACTAGAAATATCATTAACTAGGAGAGAAACTAAAGCCGGACAACCGCTTGGATCCTTAATCGACAGTTAAAAGTTTCAAATACAAGTATCTTGCAGGTTACTTAATCAGTTATTCCTCCTAAATATAAATTTTCTCCACAACTCCTCCAATGTCAAACTCATCACACTTATCTCAAAAAAAATAAAAATAACCTCATATTAAGTGCTCCCACCTACAAATGTAATTAATTCTTATTATGTATTTACTTTTAAGGTGATTTTGTATCCTTAACCCATGAAAACTTAACAGTAATAGACAAGAGGGGACATTTGTGGAAAACAGATCGAAGGGTAAGCAAAAACAGCATTCCTTCATGGCAAGATAGGCCAGAATCGGAAAGGAAGCTTTAGAATCTAGTTGACTCTGAAAGCTGAGGAGGATGAATGTTTCTCACCAAAATTGGTGCCTCTTTTTTTTTAGCATCTAATAAATATAGTATGGAACATATAACTTTGAATTTTAGTAAGATCACAAACCAATAAGAATTTAGCTGAGTATTGTTTTAAACAGATGAGGATAAATTGAGGTTGTTGGCTTCACTGTAAAGTGAATCATCTTTGAGGATGCACCCACACTAAAGCACATCCTGTTAATGTGATTCCATACACAATCATGTCACTATATTTATTTTGCAAGGGAAAGAAGAATTAATTTTACCAGTTGTGAGTTGTGACATATGAATGCAGGCATCCTATATGTAGAGTAGCAACATCACAAGCCAATAAATATCCAACAATTATAAAGAAAAATTTGTTTTATTTATTCACTCTCAACCCTCTTTGTATGACTCGACTATTTGCAAATATGATTCCATCATTAATCTAACTAAAGCTGCTTCATACATGCAAATATGATCTGCGACTTTCTATACCGGTAAAGTGGTATCCAGCTCAGAAATGCTGAGATCTCCACAGGGTTCAACAATTAATACACAATTTTGAAATCCCATATTCATAAATGAACAATAGTCTTCGAACAAACAAATGCGGACATTCTCTGAGATAATCCACATTCAACCCTCAAGGTTCATGTATAACTATACCTAAAAAATCCAGCATCTTTATAGGAATAAAGGAAGATATTTCGCCATTCCTTGACATTTCATTTTCTTATATAAAGCAAAATTTATGATCAATTTAGTAAAGAAAAACAATTTCAATTGGGTTTTCCTCGGACAGATTATAAAATTAATACTTTCACAAAGTATAAAAAAGGATCCAATGTCCAAAATATCTTCTCCCTTAATTAATATTGCTCCCCATGTTTAATGTTCAATACTTAAATCTGCTATTTAGGTTTTTTTTTTACCTAGTTCATCTAAGAACACTTAACAAGACATGTCATGCTTTCAACTCTTTTCGATTCATGTTACGACATCTTTCAAAGGTTCTTTTGTATAATACTTGATATGCAGATTCTATAAACTTCTCCCTTCAAGAAAAAGGGTCTAATTGTTAAAATTTAATGGCCAATTCTTCTAATTTCGTACGAAGTAACAAGTCTCGGTACGAAACTAGACAAAATTTATCAAACCAGCAATATCCCTGATTGGATTCAATATATATAACCATGACCCAATTACCTTTCGGTTGCAGGAACTTGAAGAAACAGAGGAATGGAGCTTTGGGGTTTCGGAAAATTAGTCGAACAACTTCAAATCCCAGAAAAAAAGCCCAACTTGAGCTTACAAATTTCCAAGAATAACATTGAGATTCTAACAGCAATCTTATTCCTTCAATCCCTAGATTCTCAGAACGAAAGGAAAGGGAATTTTAAGAATTAGAATGGTGTGGCAGTGGCAGTGACAGCAACATTGGCCTTCGAATCAGCTAAGGTAAACCCAGGGTGGGAGAAAGAAATATTATTAATACAAAACGTTGATTTTGGTGAGTTTCCAAACTGCAGGGGACCTTCGAAATAGGGGTGCGTATCATAATGGTTTAATACACAATTTAAACCCTAAAGTATATACGTTTTCACTTTACACCCTAAACATTTTTCATTGGGTAAACTACGCCAAATGGTCCTTGACTAAAGGGTATTGCTTTGTTGAGTATCTCGCATATTAAAAGTTACAAAATGATCATTTGATATAGGGTGTTGCTTTATTGAATCCCTTGACTATTAAAAGTTAGAAAATGATCATCTGACTAATCATATGTTCCAAACTTATTCTTTTTTATTAAAAAATTGATGGTGGTCTGAGTTGCATGTTGACTGAGATATGATAGTCGTTTGAGATTTTAGAATAAAATTTTCGTTAAAAAGTAGGTTAACATCCAGCTCGAACTGCCATCAATTTTTTAGTGAAAAAGAACGAATTCGGAACATATGAATAGTCGAGTGACCATTTTGTAACTTTTAATAGTCGAGAGACTCAACAAAATAATATCCTATAATTGTAGGATCACTTTATAATATTTAATAGTTGAGAGACTTAACGAAGCTACACCCCATAGTGAATTAATAGTCGTATCCATTTTTATAAAAATGGTAAACTACATGGTCACTAATGTTTGACTTAATTTTTGTTTTTCACATTGATGATTCACTGACGTTATAAATCGGTCACTGACGTTATAAATCGGTCATTGACGTTATAAATCGGAAAACATCGGTGACAGAAAGTTAAGCTGTATTGTTAAGCGCTTATTTGGCCCGTTGATGGCTTACCTGGCAGGTTGACCGGTCACTAATTAATGGAATCCGTTGACCTTTTTATGAAAACTACATGTCTTCCCCCTTCCTCTTATTCTTCCCAAGATCCCGACTCAGTTTCAGTTCCAAACCAAACAACCTAGCTGCCTTAACCAAAATCCTCAACCCACCAACCATATGGCTAGGTTTATTAGCCCCAAACCGATTTCGATGAAACATATGGGTTCACCAACGGAACCGTCCAAGTTTTACCGAGGTGTTAGGCAGCGCCGCCAAGGGAAATGGGTCGTCGAGATCTGGCTACCAAAGAACTTGACCCGTCTCTGGCTTGGCACTTTCAAAACGGCTGAGGGGGCAGCCTTGGCTTACGGCAAAGCGACCTATAAACTAAGAGGTGATTTGAAAATTGTGAAGAGGATTCAAACTCTGGGATCCCATCGCCATCTCCCTCTCATCAGAATACACCAGTGACGCTGTTGGAGTGGATTAAAAGTTGGAGTCACCCTCAGTAAGTTTTCTGGTAGCGATACTAACATCTTTAGAAGCTGAATCGATAGAAAGACTGCCACAACATGTCCATTGTCTAAATAAGCCGTGGGATTATAAGGTTGATTTGTAACTGAAACTGAGTCGGAATATGGAGACGAAGAAAAGGAAGGGGGAAAGGAAGGGGAAGGAGCGGTTTTCATAAAAGGTCAATGGATTTCATTAATTAGTGACAGGTCAACCTGCTAGGTAACCCGTCAACAGGCTAAATAAGCGTTTAACAATACAGCTCAACTTTCCGTTATCGAAATTAACGGCTATTAACATCGATTGATCAATTTGTAGCTAATAGATAACGTCACTGATCATCAAATGGAGTCATCAATCTTCGAGAAGTTCAAAACCCAAATCACTCATCTGTAACAAAACCAATTCAATGACTTGATTATAATTTTTTGAAATGCAGTGACCTATGTGTAAAATTACTAATAATAGACTGACTTGTGGTGTAATTTATTCAACAAGATTAAATGATAACTCAGGTATAAAATTTTAAAGTACACTAACCGATTTATAAATTTAATAAGTGGTATAGCTTAACTCAAAACAAATAATATCATTTTTTCCTTAAAAAAAGAGTAAAACAATAAATTTAATGCTGAATTATAAAATAAGGGTTCAAATTATAGCTTTTTTTTCAAGAATGTGTGCCTAAATTATTTTTGAATGATGTTGGTGTAGAACGTTAAAAACGTTATCATTTTAGGTATTTAGGTCATAAACATCGTTAATTTCATCCGTTAACACATGTCATATTCTAGTACTTTTTTAAAATGTTGTTTAAAATTAAAAAACTAAAATTATATTTAAAAATTTAAATAGTCCTAAAACTTTGAAAACATTCATTTCAACCCCTAAATCCACGTCAACTGTCATCCTTTACCTTCAACGAAACTCCACCCGACCTCACATCACCCCTTAGCGATCAATACCCCTATGAAATCGCGAACGATCAACGATCAATCGACGTTTATACCCCTATGAAATCGCGAATAAAATCACGAACTCACGAGATTCCGACGGCAATTATGGCAGCGTATGACTAGGAAGATGGTAGTGAGTACGTCGACGGTAGTGGTCGTCATCGGAAAGGGTGGTGGTGATGGGTTAGGGTTAGTGATTTAAGATTTTTACAGATTTGGGTTATTTTTTTAATTTAAGAGAAATTAAGATTTTTTTTATAAATATAATAATATTTTTAATTTTTAAAAAATAAATTTCAAAATTACCATAATGTGACACGTGTCACTTAACGAATGAAATTAACAACAGTTACAGCTTCGACACTTAAAGTGATAACGTTTATAACTTTAAGCACCTAGATCATTCAAAAAATAATTTAGACACTTCTTCGTGAAAAACGATATAGTTTAAACACTTAAGGGATCTAGTGTCTCATCCCACTAGACCAACTGGTTGTTGGTTTATATTTAAAATCATTAAGAAAGTGAACTTAAACTTTTAAAATTTTAAAGGTGAATTTAAATTTATAAAATTTAAAAATAAATTTTTAAAAGAAAACAGGTAAAAAAATCTAAAATATATGATAATTTTAAATTTTCAGAGAACATCATATATCATCAACCTGCTCGGTACATCCCTCTCCACACGTACCCTTAACTGGCACCAATATTTTAATGCTCAACCGCTATAAATAGCTTCAACATTCTCTCTTCTGATTCATGATTCATATACGGCCTTTATCTCTAAGCTCGTACTGAGTAAAACTGCACTCAATTTAACTTCTTTCCCAAGGCATCTTCATTTTTGTGTGTTGTTCATTTAAGATGTATTGTTCCAGGTTTACAGCTCTTATGATTGCTCTAATAGTTACCATGTCAGCTTGTTTGTCTGAGAGCCGGGTTGCGAGAAAAGACCTTGGACTGGACCTTGGAGGCATAGGGCTTGGGGTTGGTGCAGGGATAGGGCTTGTCTTGGGAGGTGGTGGTGGTTCAGGATCAGGAGCCGGGGCTGGTTCCGGTTCGGGTTCTTGGGGTTCGAGTTCAAGTTCTTCATCAAGTTCATCTGGCGGGTCTGATGCAGGTTCAGAAGCTGGTTCATATGCTGGGTCTCGAGTTGGGTCAGGCCGAGGCCGAGGGAGAGGGAATGGAAACTAAAATCGAATGTGGGGAATCATAATATAAGATGAAACTGATCAGCACCTTGCATGCATGAATAAGGAGTAGTTTTCTGTTAATGCTGTTGGCCGCTTTAAGTATTTGTTATGTGCTTCACTTTCGTAAGAGTGCTAAAATTATTAGTCACTTCATTTGTAATATATATATATATATTAATAAAATGATATTATTCGCTAGAATAGCTTTTATGATATTGAAAATACTTTTTTAATTCATAACATTATCCTAAAGAGTACGAATCAACTTACCTCAGCGGTTAAAAAATCATTGTTGTTTCTAGAGATCATGGGTTTAGTATTTTTTTGGGTAAAATATTATCGCGATTAGTATCTAAACTATCAGTTTTTATTCGTTTTAATACCTAAACTTTCAATATTTTCAAAACTTAACATTAAATTTTGAGTGGAGTACTAAAATAAAACAAAACTAAAGTTTTTAACAACGTGTACTAAAATGAAACAAAAATTAAATTTTAAATATTATTTTGAAAAAATTTAAAAAATTAATACTAAAACGGACCAAAATCAATAGTTTATATACTAAATGCATAACTTACCCTTAATTTTATTTAATTATAAATCAAAAATAATTTGAACTCTTAATTAAATTGCTATGGGCTTGAAATTTGATCTTAAAGATGAATGAAACTTGGACTATGAAGGCCCAACCCTAAGCTTATGTCGGCAATAAAAACAAACAATTAAATATTTAAATTTTTATTGACTAGACCGATAATGAGTTAGTGAGTTATTTATTAGACTGAACGTTGTCTAAGCACTAAATGCATAATTTTTATCGAATAATCTGAAATTGGATTTTAGCCGATCTGTATCAGATCTATATCAAATCTAATTATATGGTTTTTTTCTTGGATATTCGATTTAAATTATCCAAAAATAAGAAAAAATGGATAAGATATATGAAGTTTGGATCGGATTCTTTTGTACACCATGACAGTCCTATCCTTAAAAATTTTAGATTCAAAATTTCTAATATAACTTTATAAGTTTATACTTCTGACATAAAATCATGTGTATGCTCGTCCTCGGTGGACTCTTGAACCTGGTTTGACATGCTATGATACAAGTATTGGTGGATTCTTTAAACGGGAACGCATGGTAAGGCTTTGATTATCTTTCATTACATGTTTGAGAATTTGAGCCAAACTTTACTTTGAGAATTTCTCAAAGTGCCCTCATTTCCAGGATGGGAAGATCCAAGAAACAACATTTCTAGTCGATTCGAAGACCCGAAGATGAATTGCAAAACCCTCGTATTAAACAATTGTAGGCGACAATGTCCGATTTTAGTTCGAATATGGTGATTGCCTCTCTGCTCTTTTCTTCCTTGCATAAGCCATTGATAGAAGAATTGATACCTACTACATTAGAACGGACACGCAGAAGCAACAAGCCTGTATTGAAAACTGATCAACGAAGGTGTCCATCCTAATGTTGTATTTCTTTAATCAATGCTTTGTACGAGTGAAAGAGAGTGAAAGAGAGTGTTACCAGTGATGGATCTAGAAATTAAAAAATAAGGGTCTAAAATTTTATTGTTTTATTTTAAAAATTTTGGGCATGCAAATTTTCTTCTTCTTTTTTTATTTTCATTAACAAATTAAACTAAATTCAACATTTTTATCGAAATAATGTGTGTGCAATGGCTGCCCTAGGGAGCCACATGCGTCGGCCGCTGGCTGTTACCATGTTTGAACTAATGATTCGGAGATATGTAAAACTTGAAATTGTCGCCAGTTGTTTAATATGTGGATTGGTGCAATTCGGTTAATATGTAAACTATATATTTAGTATTTTAATTATTAATTTTGTTCCGTCATAGAAATGACCATCCATCTCAGTTGGTAGAGCACAAGGTTTTTAACCATGAAGTCGTGTGATTAAGTCTCATGGAGGACATTTCATAATTTGGAGGTCTTCTACGGAAGCTGCTCTCAACCTAGTGTCGGGGGCAGCCTACTATATTACCTCCCCTTACCCCATTACATATGGGAACAAGGGACATCCATTTTTTTTTGTTCCGTCATAGTCGTCAAACTATTTCTTTAAAATTATACATAACGTTTAATTTTGATTTCATTCTAATCGTATATTATTAAAACAAATAGTAGAATATTGATATATTTTTTTTTATTTTTTTAAATGACGACGTAAGATTATTTTATAATGATGTAGTATTATATTTAATTGTAATATAAAAGTTCAAATAAAACTTAATATCTCATATAGTAAACCCACTAATAATTAATAGTTTAGGATGGAAACGCGTGTTAAGTGAGAAGGACAAAGGAAGGTGAGTCGATCAAATAGCAGCGGCGTCAGTATAGCCGCGTGGATTTGGCTGCTTATTGCTATTTCGACGTTGTGCTTACCATTTTGAGTTGTTATTATGAAAATAAAGTTGGCTTAGCTTCTACTGGACCGTTTATTTCCATTCTTACCTTGAACACCTCATGTTTTCAAGACATGTCTCCAATTCTGTAGAATAATTTTAAAATGGGTGACAGATTTTGACCAAATTGTCCCTGACATACAAATAAATTACTCCACCTATTTGTGTTTTGTCACCCATCATCTTACTCACTAACCACGGTTTTGTTTAAACTATGTTCGGTACGAGAGTATTATAGGACGAGAGTGAAAAATATGACTAAGTTACAATGTTAAAAAGAATATGAATCTTTATTCGAGAATATGTTAACTATTTATTATATTTGTTAATAATTAGTCATGATTTAGGTCTATAAAAGAATATATAGATCTTAGTACAATTAATGAATCTGAATCATGTTTTGATCTTTTTATATTGAGTTTGAAACTCTAATTATTAATTAATTCAGTTTTCTCACTTTCTATTTTAATTCGTCAAGTTAGGGGCTGTTTGTTTACTTCAGAATGATTAAGCGCTGAATGATTCAAATACTGAATGATTCAGAGGCTCTGTATGAATTAGCTCTGAATGTGACATGATGTTTGATAATGACTCTGAATGATTCAAAATGTACTTTGATGTTGAATCATTCAGCACTGTTTTATTGAATTAGTCAGCACTGAATCATTCAGAGGTGAGAAACAAACACGCTGTTCAACATTCAGAGCCAAACAAACAGACCATTAATTCACCATCAATCAAGTTTTTTTGACCATCATGATTCCTTGATATGGTATCAGAGCTTTTGACCTTGTCACTTCATCGTGTTGCACTCTTAAAGTCGTGTTGTTAATTGATTTCTATGTTCGTTCCATAAGATTTTTGTTGTAGATCTGAGGTTGTTCATCAGAGATCTATTTTATCTTTTGATTATTATTAATCTTTGTTGAAAATTGTGTCAGTTTTCATCAATTTGAAAGATTCTTGTTTCTAAGCCAAGAAGCATCTAATTATTGGAGTCAACATAGTTGGAGGAGATCTTATGATCGTCCATTTATTCAATGATGTTTCATCTCAAATGTTCTCGAATAAACGAGTCAACATGCAACTTGGCAATAATTTTTTTCACTCTAAAAGTAGCAAGTCCTAATGATAATCCATGTGTTTAGCTTGAAGGAATTTCTAAATTCAACATTGTTAATTATGATTGAGATAATCATCGATCATATTGGTAAATAAATTCTTATGATTTAAGTGAAAGAGATTTATATTTTATTGACAATGTGTGAGAATAGTTATTAAGAGGCAACGATTTAACGACCAATATTTATGTTAAAATTAAAATTAAATGTTGAAATTAAAATATTTTAAAATTTAATAATAAAATCGAAAGACATTTGGAGTAAGTTAGCCCTTAAGATATTTTTACTATGAATTGGACGCGCTGGTATGTGAAACGTGTAGAATGCTTCTACCCATCCATTAGAGGACAGAACTTTGTCTTCATCTTTATAAGTTCCCCATATTCTCCATTCCACCTTATCTACATCTTCACTTCTCCTCCTTTTTCTCATCATCCAAACACGAAATCAAGGAAACCAACCCATAGCTTAAACCCATGGCCTTCCGACTCAGTAACAACCTCCTCGGAATCCTCAACTTCATAACATTCCTCCTCTCCATCCCCATCCTCGGCGCCGGCATCTGGCTCAGTCGAGAAGGCGTGACGGAATGCGAGCAGTTCCTAGACCGCCCCATCATCGTTATCGGAGCCTTCCTCATGGTCGTCTCTCTCGCCGGAATGATCGGCGCGTGCTGCCGTGTAACTTGGCTGCTCTGGCTTTACCTAGCCGTCATGTTCCTCCTCATCGTGCTCGGCGTAGTGCTCACCGTCTTTGCTTTCGTGGTGACGAATAAAGGGGCCGGAGAAACTTTGTCCGGGAAAGGGTATAAGGAGTACCGGCTTGGGGATTACTCGAACTGGTTGCAGAAGAGAGTTAGTGACGGGAAGAACTGGAATAAGATCAAGAGCTGTTTGGCTGATAGTAAAGTTTGTACTGAATTTCACGAAAAGTATCTCAATGTTCCGGTCACGGAGTTCTACCGTGAGCACCTGTCCTCCGTTCAGGTATGCTTTCTGGGATTTTGTTGATTTTAATTTTGGGGATGAGGGGCTTGAATTTTTGCAAAAGTTTATTAAAAAATGTCGGAAGTTGGTGCTTAGTTTTTAATTATCTCAAGCTTTATGCATAAAGCAGTCTCGTGGAACCAATACTTACATTCTTTAAATTTCTAATATTTTCTGCATGCGTTCCTCGTGGATTGTTGTTGTGGATGTAATGCTTGTGTTTCCATGTAATTGCAGTCTGGTTGCTGTAAGCCATCAAACGACTGTCAATTCAACTATGTCGGACCGACTAACTGGACTCAAGGGAGTGCCGTATCGACCAACCCGGACTGCAACCTGTGGGATAATAACATGGACACACTCTGCTTCAACTGCCAGTCGTGCAAGGCCGGATTCATCGACAACCTACGGAGTTCTTGGAAGAAGGTGGCGGTTGTCAACATAGTGTTCCTCGTCTTCCTCATCATCGTCTACTCCGTTGGCTGCTGTGCATTCAGGAACAATAGGAGAGACAATCATTATGAGCAACCCTGGAAGCCTTGAGGAGGTTGTCTTTGGTCTTAGATGGGCACTCGTATCGTATAGTCTGCCCGATTTGCTGTTGTTTTCTACGTGTGGTTTAGTGTCTATGATTTGCATATTTAGTCCTTTCGTTGGATAGTTTTTCTTCACATTTTGGATATTGTATGCTTGATCGATTCTATTATTAGTTGTTATGGTTCTATTAATTATTTGCATCAGGAAAGCGGTGGGTGGGTGGGTGGGCGGGTGGGTTGATCACCTAAATAAAAATAGGATAAATTACACATTTAGTACATAAATTATTAATTTTGGTTTATTTTAGTATCTAAATTTTTAATTTTTTTAAGAAGTTAACGATAAATTTTGAACAAAGATATCAAAATGAAATAAAATTTAAACATTAGGTATGTGTTGGTACCATTTTTTTAAAAAAATGATAAAAATAGTACGACTTTCGAGAAATGATAGGTTTCAAAATTGATTTGTTTTGGGGTTGTCATCAACCTTTAGGTTAGGTAAATCGAATATCTAAAAACGTCTTTTAAAATTATTTTAAAAGAAATCATTTAGAAAGACAAAATGGGTTTGCATGTTATTAGAAATTCATTTTAAGGGTTCAAGAACCGATTACGCATAGGGAAGGGTAAGCACCCAACAGTGTCCAAAACTGGTACCTGGTCGCCTATACGTTGTCTTAGTTGTGGAATTTGTATATTCGAGTTAAAATTTAAAGTGTGATCCTTTTATCGAACATTGATTCATTTTATTTTATAATCAAAGTATACTCGATTGTTTTCAAGTTCGTTTTTCGTTCGAATGTCATATTGAATGGCGCTACCTCTAACAGAATGCACTTTTCACGCCCATTTTACAAAAAGACGTTTTTGAAAATTGATACGAGTAGAAAACATAAATATATAGTTGAATAAAATGAGTATTTTGTAACAATTTAAAAATAGGTTAACCTTTAAGTCTTGATTATTATCAACATCAACATCATTAAATAAAGATTACATTCCATAAAAAATGGGTAAAGTATATAATTTGTCACTGAACTTTTAGGGAACTTGTATTTTGGTCACTGAACTCTTGAAACTTGCAATATAGTCATTAAACTTTTAGTCCGTTTTCATTTCGGTCCCTACCGTTACCTTCCGTCAGATTTTGTTGACGTGGCAGTTAACCCTCCATTAACCTTCCTTTTTTACTGACGTGACTTCTTCTTCTTTTTCGTTACTGCCATTTTCTTGCTCATCTCATTTGGGAAGTTGCTCAAGAAATGGACGTCGTTAAGAACAACCGTCAGCTGAACTATCTCACTCTAAAACTCGAAGAGACCATCATATTTTTTAGCTTCAGTTGTCCTCAGAGGTGCAACATACGGCAATGTCTCTGAAATAAAACATGTTTTTTTTAGGTTTTAGACGTTTTTTCACCAATCTGTTGATCGAATAATGAAATAAAATACCAGGGCAATCAGTTCTAGGAGTTGTTAATTCCTTAACAAGTCCTTAAAAAGTGCCAGCCCAAGCATCTCTATGGGTTAAGAAATTGGATGAGAGGTTGAACATTTGTTGTTGGGATTGATTAGTGCTCAAATTCTGAGCTTGGAGTTGGTCCCTTTGGTCCACTTATCACTGCACCACAAGTTTCGAGCATTAAACATACAAGGTGGCAGGTGGTTGATACGTAATCCGACGGTTCAAGTCCGAGTAACTTACCGGTGCCTTTCTTGATTCAAGGAGAGACCATAATAGTCGGCACATGAACTCTGAGCTGATCGAACTTGAAGAACGAAGGAGCAGGGTCGGTGTTCCCGTCCGGACTCGGGACATTCACGAACGGTGTCTTGACATGATCATAGAAACCACCATGTTCATCATAAGTAATCACTAGGAGTGTCTCGTTCCATTGAGGGCTCGCCCTAAACGACTCGTGCACCTCTTTCACCAGCTTCTGACTGTTGGCGATGTCATGAGACAGATGGTCGTCGTTCGCGGGCAATCCCTTGAGATCGAAATACCTCGACTTGATAACGGTCAAGCTCTAAAGCTTACCGTCTCGAGCATCTTTCTTGAACTTCAAATTGAATTGATGGAACTTGAAGACATACTTCAACTTCCTCAAGTTCCCATGGAACTTCCGTCTCGATAACGGATGTTCGTTGTAATATTTTATTTACTTTTTTAATGAAATGGAGACGAGAAAGACAAGATTCTAGTTTTGTTGAAACTAATTTTTTTATTATTTTAATGTTGAAAGTTAGAGGTGAAAGTTAGAGATGGAAGAAGAAGAAGAAGAAGCCACGTTAGCAAAATATGAAGGTTAACGGAGGGTTAACTGATACGTCAGCGAAATCTAACAGAAAGTAACGACAGGGACCAAAATAAAAATAAACTAAAAGTCCGATGAATATATTGTAAATTTCAAAAGTTAGGTGACCAAAATGCCAGAACCCTAAAAATTTAGGGACTATTTATATACTTTACCCTAAATGTTTTTACAAACTTTGGCCCAATACAGACTGCTCAAGCCCAAAACCCAAATATTATGAAACCCTAGGGTTTCCCAACTCTTGCCTCAGCCGCCCATCACAACTGTCATATCTGAAGATGATCTGACACGGCTCAGATTTACCACACATTAGGGTTAATGTAACAAGATCCAAGCAACCGACTCGCGTCGCCGTCTCCTTCAGCAGCCTCCCCACCTCGCTTCCAGCCTCATCGATCATCAAAGCCGTCGACCCCAACTAAATTTTAACTATATCGATCTCGAATAATTCACAATTTTTCTCGTCTTTTGAAAGACCTAATAACTTGGTATTACTCATATGTATGTTTTCTTTCAACATCCATGAAGACATACATAATGTCATGTATGTTTTTTTGACCATATTCTGTACATAAACAAGGTCAAAAGAGGGCATGAAAAATTTGATAGGTGGTCAAATTACGCATTGAGCCTTTAGCAGAGAGCAATTAAAGCTGATGCTGCTCAAATGTCATGTCCATACCCAAAGCTCATGCATGAACTCAATCTCATTTATTTTATCAATATTTTCTGTTATTAATTTCTTTCTCAACGGTTGACCGCCCCTAAACGTGATATGTTTAATAAATGCAATTTAATATTTTTAGGGTTATTATTATTTTATTAATCTCGATAAATATAAGGTAATATACGTTAAAAGATAACTATTAATCATTTGATATTGTACGCATCTCTAATATGCATGATATAATTAAATTAGTATTTTTACCGAAAAATAACAATTCATCTTTTACCAAAATCATTCAATTAGTATTTTTAATATATAACTTGCATAAATTTTGATATAATATATTTTAATTTTAAATCATAAACTTTAAAATCTAAAATTTTAATTTTTTAATCCTAAAATTTATTCTAAATTCTAAACCTTAAACCTACATTCTTAAGCTCTAAACTCTTTTTTTATATACTTTAAACTTTTAACTCTAAAATTTAAATAGTTATAAGACTTTTAAACCTTAAATAGATAAGTTTATATAAATTAAAGTTTACATTAGTCTATTTTTCTATATAATTATTGACATCTAATCTATTGATCGATCAATTCGGATAAGATACTACAAAGATGAGGGCGACCCTCTAAACCCAATTTACTCCATTCATAAACGACATGATTCAAACGTCTGATCTTACTTAAAATATTTAATGTATAATCTCATTAGACCAACAAGTTATTAGTATTTATTTAAATGATATTTGGTCCATTTAAGATTTATATTTTTAAAATTTTAAGATTTACGATTATAATAGACATATTATATTATATGAATATAACATTTACACAGCAATCTGTTAATCAAATAATAACTTTTTAAGTATAATAACTTTTTTAATAAAAAATAATAGGTTTAAAGTTCACTTTTACTCCTTGAGTAGACCTAATTTATCATTTTCGTCCTTATCTTATTTTCGTATCATTTAACCCTCAAAGTTGTTTGATTACATCATTATATACCCTATCAATAACTTAAAAACCTAAATTATAAACTTAAAATTAGGGTTTAGGATTCAAGGTTTAGGGTTTAGAGGTTATTAGGTTATGGTTTAAAGCTGAGTTTATAATTTAGAGTTTTAAGTTAGGAGTAAGATATCGAATGATGCAATTAAGCAATTCCAAAGACTAAATTAACATGAAAATACGATAGAAACGAAAATGATAAATTAAATCTATTACAAACGTAAAAGTTTTCATTTTACCAAAAGAATATCAATCAAAACTAAATCAATATCCTTCATCAATATATTATAAATTTGATTAATAAAATATATTGCAAAGATAATAAAAATCAGTTGGAATAGAAAAATGAAATAAATAAATAGACCCACCATTTAAAGGAATACATGTTTGTTAAATTTTAGAAAATATGTTTCACTATAAACAGGGGGAAAAGCAAAGAGTCAAATTTATAAAATTGAGCGAATATATTTAAATTTTTTTAAAGGAATGATAATAATATATAAATTTTTGTGGGACGATTGTTCATTTCTACTCTCTCGATCTATCTCTAACTGTAAATATTTTAATGTACTATTTAGTGCACACTTCAAGTAAAATTCTTGGAAGAGTTTAAGGAGCGACAGTCTAATTTAAGGCTAAGTAGGCGCACCCGAAAATATCATCGAAAGCATAACATTTTTAGTTGGATACAACCAACAATGATACATTATTCATAACATTTTCGGTTGGCAATCGAAAATATTAAGAAATTTTAAAAACTATTTTAAGTTTCACACAACTGAAAATATGATATTCTTTATAATATTTTCGATTGAGCCTATTCCTCTGCATCGGAGCTCCGAATGCTAGTCCTTCAGCTCCCTGCCCGTCGGACCAGAATTTGCCAGGCTTAAGACGCTCGGTTTCGGAGGGCAGAAGGTCATGGTTCTCAACACTTAATCAATGTGTAACCACAGGCAATGCATGCTGATATTTTTTAGTGCTTTTTTCTTACATTCTTTTTTTTTCCTATCCGATATGGTGGATTGACCCTCTAATTTTGCCTATAATTGTAAGTGAAACTTCAGGTTGATAATGATTCCTGGTTTTGTAAATGCAAAAGACATATTTGACCACTTGTTTTAAAAGGGTTATCCATAAAGGGATTTAACTAGGTGTAAATAAGTCGGGTATAAGCAAATAAGATTGTGTTCGTGTTTATTTATTTATTTTTTTTAAAGTATTCATGTTCGGTTCATCTTCGTTTAAATTTTTGATATCGTATTGATTTATTTACATTTGAAGGTGTTCGTGTTTAGTTCATTTAGTATTGGCGAATATATTTGCCAAAATAGAGAATTATGTCATTGGTCCTTAAGCTCTTTGAGTTTTGTAGTTTGAACTTCAAAGTTTACTATGTGTTAAATTTAATACATTTACAGATATTTAAAATGTAAAAAACTGAAAGGAAAATGAGTATTGGATAAACGAGTAGATAAACAAACTTTTAAATCAACTTGTTCGTGAACATAAGGGAATCGAACATACCTCTATTCATGTTCGTTCGTTTATAAAATGAATAATTTTTTTATTCATACTTGTTTTTTTTTAACTTAATATGAAAAACATAAATTTTCACGAACAATTCATCGAACGTTCAATTCATTTACGACTCTTAGATTTAACCTTTGAAAACGATAAGGTGAAAATTTAATGTTTTTAAATATACTCAAATACCTTTCAGAACCATCCAATTAAGGTTATAACAATTTAGCAAAAACTTCATTCTTTTATATTGCCTTCATATCCCTTCCTATTGACAAGTCCTGGCTAATGATTCTCTTATGGATTGGTCTTCCTTGCACTATTAGCAGTAATGTTTCTGATGGGTTCAGAAAGATTTTTCAGGGTGGATATATATGTATTAATACAAAATTATTTTCGTATTAGGTGATCACAAATAATATTTTAGGGTGAACGCCGTAAGTAAAATGAACGACTAACATAGAGAAATTCGAATTCCAAAGTGAACAAGTGCTCACCCTGCGTATAAGGGGGGAAATGGCAAAAACGTGCAAATGATATTAAGAGACATGATACCTGAAACTTGTATAACAACAGGTGAACTAAAGAGGTACTCGGTGCTCACTCGTTCAATTCGACTCGGACTATACCGGCGTCGGGATCGGCGATGGTCGAGAAAGCATCTCGGGAGAGGTTGATGATCCCCTGGCATCCGGCTTTACAGTAGTCGACAACTTTAACCACCACACTTTTACCATTCTTGCAAGGATGCGGTGCTTTGTTTGCTCCTCCTATGCATTTAACTCTGTACCTCTTGCCGCATGCTCTTCGGTTTTGCCACAACGCATCGCTTACTCCGGCCACCATTATTCCATTATTTTGGTTCCCATAGCATGCTGAAGCTGTTCAATAATTCAATTATGGATGATTGTGTTAAAATCTACAAAATCAGTATAAAATATAGGGTAAACTGCTCTCAATACCATTGAACTTTAGATTGTATATCGTGTATGTGCCACTAAACTTTTAATTTTTCCAATTATAGCACTGAAGTTTGGTTTTGACTTTAATTATGTCACTGACCGTTAAAATCTAAATAGTGTGATAACATGTACAAAATAACATCGTTTTGATATGGCTATCGATGCCTAAAACAACATTGATTTAGTCATTGAACGTTCGGGTGTGTTGATTTTGTCACTAAACTTTTAAAAATTTCATTTTTTACTATTCTTTTCCAGTAGTTGTCAGTAGCCAATCATCGTCTTTCGTTGATCGTTTTTCACAAAAAGATCGATACTGAAACGTTCATATTTCACTCATTCTTTTCTTAGTCCATAAATTTGTGCTGTTTAGAAAGTTTAATGATATAAACAATATTCTGCATAAAATTCAGTAATATCTTGTATAGTTTACCCTAAAATAAAATCATTCGATATATATATACTCACGAAGATAAGGCGGCGTTCCATAAAAAACAGCCATCCCTTGAATAGCATGGACGACTGAGCTAAGACACAGGATCATGGCCATTGTAAGAAAAGCTATCATGTGTTTTTCACCCATCACAAAAGTGGAGATTGATCTCACTTAGTTTGAATAGTTAAATTACAAGTTGTTAGGGTTGCCAGCACCTCGCAATTTGTAGGTCCAAAAGTTTACTATTCATAGTCCTATGTGTAGTGTGCTTCACCCAAACTTTTTTTTTTGAATTAATCACCGGTATCCGATCTATTGACCGATTAATCCAGATCGGGTACTGCAGAGGCGAGGACGACCCTTCCAACCCAATTTACTTCATTTGCAAACGTCAGGATTCGAACCTCTGACATTACTTAAATGACCTAGTGCTTCATCCCACTAGATCAACTGGTTGTTGGTTCACCCAGACTTTTCTAACTTGAGACAGTTTATTCTTATCAGTGAATCATAATTTTGTGCTTTCTCTGTAACACTCCAATTTAGGGGCTAAATTATTTTTTAAGAAATTATAAAGTAATGATTTTAATTGGCATTTTGGAAGAAATTGAGGATTAAATTGTAATATTTTAAAGTAGGTAGATTGTTTTATAAAGTGTAAGAAATTCAGTGGCTAAACTCATAGTTTAACTATTTTTTATTTTTGGGAGAATTATAAACCTCCATTCCCGTATGTTTTTCTGCAGAAAATCATCATTTTCTCTCCTCGAGTCAACTCACTTTGAACTCTGATCTACTCACCGTTTGGCGTCCATTTGACGAACTGAAACCACCATCGTGTTCGTTATTGACCGATGAACAAAACCCCTCAAACCTTTCATCGTGAATCGTCGTCGTTCGTCGTTAATTTCAGTTGGAAGTATCGTCGGTTTTAACACGATTTCAGTTGGTTTTTCATCGATTCACGACGATTCGACCATCCGTTTTCGACACCTCCTGCACCATCGTATTCCTTGCATCGTTCCGAGTCTACCGGTGATCTCTGTGTCTCCATAATCGCCGACATGTGGAGGGGGTGAGGAAGTCAAAGTTTTCAATGTTCCGGAATCGAGCTCTCCGCTATTCAAAATTGTGAACCGAGCTTAGTAAGTGTATCAAAATGCCTTAAAATAATTTTTAGGAATTTTTTCGGGAATTTTTGGACCCTCCATGGCGTCGCACGCGCCGCCACTGTGCATGGGGAAGTCCTAATTTGTAATTAATTTCTATTATGGTGATATTTGTGTAAAACTCGGGTGCTAGTTTTGTAAATATTTTTAGAATGGTGGGTAATATGTAATTAATTTATGTTAGGGTGATATTTGTGACTTTGACCAAAAAAGTCAAAATTTTTGAAAAGTCATATTTATGTTTTTCGATGTTCCAAATCCGTTTTTGGGGTTTGTTTCGCCAAATTCAAACCTGGTAAGTTGTTTTTAACTGATTTATCACCCGATTCGATCCGTTTTTCAGAATTAAGCTCCGTTTTTTATGTAATTTCTGTTGATATGTATCTGAGAAATTATTGAAAGTTGAATTAGGGATCGAGGACGTTCAAATGAAATTTAAATAGTCGATCAGTATGGCACGAAAATTGAGGTAATACATTACTACCTCTTTATGTTTTATAGAACATGTTGATATTGGTAAATGCATGAATGAAAATGTTTGGTCTCATATGTGTAATTAATGAAGTTCTATACTTGATTCGAATACAGTAAAAATTCTGTAATTGAATATGGATCAGATGATTAATATAAGAAATTGAAGGACAATTTGAATTCAATTACAAGTTATGAGATTAAGTTATATAGGTATCAACACTGGATATGCAATTTATAATCTATCTCATTTGATAAGGTATGAGAATACTTCGATTAGGTAAAATTACGAAATTACCCTTATGTTGGAAAATGACAAGAATCTTCCCTGGAAGTTGATTAATAACTCTGCAAAGACTTATTGGTCTGATAAAACTACAGATGTGCATAAGAAATGTTAGTTTTAATTGGAAAATTCAGATAACCGATTTTTAACCCCAAGAGGGTTTATGCACGATACTAGAAGTCTGTTAAGGAATCATTTCAAGATTGAAGAATGTTCTGAAAAGAAATTAACCATAGGATCTCTAAATTATAGTTATTTTCGTAAAGAGATAATATCGAAACTATTTGGTTAAGAAATTATAAAAATGCCTTGAAAGGTAAAAATAGTCCGAGTTGACCCGGAATGAGAAAGTACTTTGAGGATTTGTACTTAACTCGATAAATTACAGATTTAATTGTTAAGATCTTGTCTTTGTATAAAAATTCATGATATTCCGTTTGTAAAATCTGAGAAGGCACTTTACCCGAAAATATCTGAGTTATGAGTAAATACCTGAAGAACAATTTATCGGGGGTGTTCTTTTGTCAGAATTGTTTGAAATGACTGAAATAAATGATAAGATTGAATTTAATAGTAAGATCGAAAGGAAGGAAATAATTGAAATACACTGAATCTGTAAAATAACCAAAATACCCGTGGAATAAAAATGACTCAAGAATATCACCAAGCCCAAGAATAAATGGATATCCACAAGCTTTGAAATGAATGAAAAAACATTGAGCACCAAAATGACCAAAATGCCCTTATGGACTAGATTAAGAAAATGTCTTGGATTAATTAAGGAATCCAAATAAACATGGGTGTTGAATTACCCTTAAAAGTTATGGAACTCAACTTAAGTGAGTTGACCAACGTTAATGATATGTCAGTACCTGAACAACATAGATATCACTTGAATGGGTGTTCGTCTTCTCAAGTTTGGCTTGATGATAATTTTGGAAGTATCCAGCTCAACTCAACTCTAGATCACATCCGGTACTAAGAAATGAATATTCGTTAGAGAAATCAATCACAAAGATCAAATTGAATTGAACAAAAGTACAATATGTATCTGAAATTCAGAAACGTCTGTCTTACTCTGGAAAATGCCGAAGTAACTGGAATGGACTTGAATGCTAAATGAAATAAGTAACCTCCATGACTGAGAATTAAATAAGTGATTTGGATGAGTATGAAAACTTTAATGAACATACACTGTTCTTGTGGGTCATGAACTACAAATCAAGCACGTCAGCATTTCATGATATTGTGGAAGCGTGAAAATGAAATAAAGACATTGAAATATCTATTCAGCGATGATTCCGAAGATGATCTATGGACAATAATTGTTGGTATTAAAGAGTGAATACCTGGAATAACAACGAATAGACCGATCAACATGTACTAGTTCTATAAGTTGTTCAGCTTGGGTTATTTCGATAATCCGATAGATCGATACAGACTGTAAATGTCATGAAACTTCATTTCTTCCTTATCAGCTCAAGTCTCATTCTGAATAACTGATGATTCCATCAGTTATTGATCTCTTCCAATAGTGATTCTCAATTCCAACATCCTATCGACATACTGAATACCTGTGTTTCTCTACCTGATAAGATTATCCAGTACCTCTAAATAATATCTATAAACTCTGGTGTGTTCCCTAATCATATGAATATTTTATCTGATTTTTGATTTGAATTATGTTGTGATACCTAACCTGAATTCTGATATGATATTGACATGGATTCTGATCTGATACATGACCTGGATTCTGATCTGATACTTGACCTAATTTATGTTTTGATTTTTGATATATCCGTTTACGGACGGAACATGTTTTATTGGGGGGTATTGTTGGAGGAAGAATACTTGCAGGTTCCTCGGCTTTGTGCTCAGGGCCTTATTGGACGTGACGGGGTTGTATGGTTCTGGGGAACCTACACATTGTGTACGTGACGGATGGGGGTATATATATATGTGTGTGTGTGTGTATGTTTTAAAAGATCTGTATCTTTTTTAAAAGATCTGTATCTTTTTACTGGTTTTACGGGAACACACTAGATACTCTATTCTGATTTCCTGAACCTAGACATCCAAAATATTTCCTTGAACTAAACGCTTACCATCTGTTACTACCTGAAATATTAGTAGGATTTTCGCTCAACATAAAGATCTGTAAATGTCTGAACTGATAAGGAAATATATGTTTATCTGTATCTGCACGTTCTTCAGCATCATCTGGTAGTTCTGTATTACTGAGCTTTCCAAAGCTCACTCTGTTACTCACCTTTACAGGTTTGTACTAGTACAGCTATAGACATCAATAAGGGAGTTCTTCCGGCGTTTTTTGCAGAGTATGATACATGTGATTAGGGGGCATGTAATTGTATTTTGTTTTATATCTGAGTCTGAAAATCTGTTTTATTTCTGCATATTGATAAATCATTTTATAAGTTACATGTTTTAAGAAAAGTTTTAAATTTTTCGCTATTTTTATGGTGGGTCACTCCGGTGGCCCTAATGTGACACCACATATCGGATTGGGTTACCCGCATCGATCTGAGGGGGTTACATTCTCGCCTTCCCACTTAGCTAGTCCTCATGAGAAATTTCCACCCCATTTCTTCACTTTCTTTTTTATCCTCCATCAAGGGAGACTTCGGATATACATGATGTTTGCATCATGATGCCATCACATTTGTATATTTGTGTAAGTCTGTTTGCAAAACAAAAAGGTAAATTACACAGGATATTATACAACTTTAGGCATTGTGTAGTTTATACTATTAAATTTTCAATTATAATACTGAACTTTGAATTTCGTTTCAATTATACCACTAGACCGTTAAATCGTTAACAACCAAAACAAAACGCATTGTTTCGGTGAGTTGTCTTCGTCGGTAGTCATCAACCGTTAGCCATGCCATCATGTCATTAATTATTTAAAAATGATATAATTATTGTGATGAGGTAAAATTCATTGTTATACAAGTCATTTTTGTATGAATTAGTGTAATTGGGTTTTTTTTTGGAAAATAGAAAGAGAAAAAATGTGTAAAAACAAAAATAATTTTTTGGGTAAAACGATGAGTTGGAGTTTAATATTTATAAAAGTAAAAGGAGGATCAATAAATAAAACATGAAAAATTATCATAAAACTTTCAATTGTCTTCAAAATCTTCTTAAAATATAAATAAAATATTATTTCATATATTATAATATTTTCTTTTATTTTTACT